ATCTGCATGTTCTCTGGTTAAATAAATAAAATGTTCCCTACAGAACTGGGAGTGACTTTGGAGTGACAGATCTAGATTAGATTACACTAGCTGGCACACAGGAGAACTCAACAATTACAATGGCAACATGAGAGGTACAGTACTGTCATTTGATTCTAATCACTCACCTTCAAATTCACTTAATTTCAATTGGAGAGGTCATTTTTTATCCTTGATTCCTCTATAGGTGAGAAACGCTGGAATGATGCAAATTATGAAAACAAATATTATTCTGTATGTGTTAAAATAATCTGTTAAATCCTGGGAAATTTTAACTGGAACCAAAACTGAAACTGTATGTAGTCTATATACCAGATACTGTATAGTATAGTGTTACAGGCTTTGGTAACAATAGCCTACAAGTGTTTACAATCAGTGCTCTTCAGAATCTTTGTACAGCATCACTGCTCTTGTCTGAACTATGTTTTGATTCATGACTGAAATACAATGTAAATCTATTTTTCTTTCATCAATAGTATTTCACTAATGCTGCCAAAATGCCATTGATGTAACTGCTAATAAATGCATTATGTATTTTCTGTAAAATGTCCCTAGTGTCATTAGTTATAAGATTAAAGGGATAGCTCAACGATTTTACATATTTAGATATTTGTTTCCTTACCTTGAAAGCAGTCCATGGACAAGGAGTGACTGCAATCCATACTTTGGTTTTGTTAAACTAGTCTCTGCAAACAATCGGCAGCATTAGCATTTCGAGATCAATTCCTCATGCAATTCTTCAATCTTTCCTGTTTAGGATTCGAACACATTAGTTTTACCCATTGACGGTATTAGGTGGTATTATTTAATAACATGTCCAAAGCAAACACGAGAGGGCACTGTATTATCATGTTTTATGGTTACAGGCTGTATGTGTGTCTGAGAGAGAGAGAGAGAGAGAGAGAGAGAGAGAGAGAGAGAGAGAGAGAGAGAGAGAGAGAGAGAGAGGAGAGAGAGAGAGAGAGAGAGAGAGAGAGAGAGAGAGGAGAGAGAGAGGAGAGAGAGAGAGAGAGAGAGAGAGAGAGAGCGAGAGAGAGAGAGAGAGAGAGAGAGAGAGAGAGAGAGAGAGAGAGAGAGAGAGAGAGAGAGAGAGACCTAAGCAAGCTGGTCATGGGGTCTGTACACAAACACAAACAGACCCCACATTTTTGCAGAATTCTGCATGCAGTGTCAATTTGGTGTTTATCCCATTTTGTGAATTCTTGATTAGTGAGCGGACCCCAGACTTCACAACCATAAAGGGCAATGGGTTCTATAACTGATTCAAGTATTTTTAGCCAGATCCTAATTGGTATGTCAAATTTTATGTTCCTTTTGATGGGTAAAAATATCATCTGTGTACAATGTAAAACATCAAATAATGCATGCAGAGCATAATTCGGCCGATACCCACTAATTATCAAAATCCAGAAAAGAGCCGTTAAATGCTACAACCACCTAAAAGGAAGTGATTCCCAAACCTTCCATAACAAAGTCATCACCTACAGATAGATTAACCTGGAGAAGAGTCCCCTAAACAAGCTGGTCCAGGAAAGCAACACAATTAGACCCAACCAATCATGAGAAAACAAAAAGATAATTACTTGACACATTGGAAAGAATCAACAAAAAAACAGAGCAAACTATAATCCTATTTGGCCCTAAACAGAGAGTACAAAGTGGCAGAATACCTGACCACTGTGACTGACCCAAACTTAAGGAAAGCTTTGTACAAACTCAGTGAGCATAGCCTTGCTATTGAGAAAGGCTGCCGTCGGCAGACCTGGCTCTCAAGAGAAGACAGGCTAAGTGCACACTGCCCACAAAATGAGGTGAAACTGAGCTGCACTTTCTAACCTCCTGCCAAATGTATGACCATATTAGAAACAAATATTTCCCTCAGATTACACAGACCCACAAAGAATTCGAAAACAAACCCAATTTTGATAAACTCCCTTATCTATTGGGTGAAATACCACAGTGTGCCATCATAGCAGCAAGATTTGTGACCTGTTGGCACAAGAAACGGGCAACCAGTGAAAAACAAACACCATTGTAAATACAACCATGTTTATGTTTTTTTATTTTCCCTTTTGTACTTCGACCTCTACGGGATCTGTGTCCCGTATACGGGACGGTTGAGCTAACGTGTGCTAATGTGATTAGCATGACTGTTGTAAGTAACAGCAAACTTTCCTGGACATAGACATGTCTTATATGGGCAGAAAGCTTAAATTATTGTTAATCTAACTGCACTGTCCAATTTACAGTAGCTATTACAGTGAAAAAATGCCATGTTTGAGGACAGTGCACAACAACAAAAAGCTTATTACATTTACGTCATTTAGCAGACGCTCTTATCCAGAGCGACTTACAGTTAGTGAGTGCATACATTTTCATACTGGCCCCCTGTGGGAAACGAACCCACAACCCTGGTGTTGCAAGCGCCATGCTCTACCAACTGAGCTACAGGGGACTACATTACCAACATTATCCTGTTCTCCTGTCCTGTGATAAAACCAGTTTGACCTGAATAGTGGCTGATACACATTTCTTAGTGCAGTATGTAAAAAGTGCATGACTAACGTGACATCCAGTCAATTCAGTTAGAGAAAAGGAATTCTTCCACCCTTTATCTACAGATCACGGCAACTGGTTTGATACATTCACCTCTGAAGGTAAATAATGTACTTACATTCAGTAATCTTGCTCTGATTTGTCAACCTGAGGGTCCCAGAGATAAAATGTAGCATATTTTTGTTTGATAAAATCCCTTTTTATATTCAAATGTAGGAACTGGGTTCTACAGTTTGAATCCTTGCTGTCTCTGGCTCCACACCCACCCCGCCCGGCCATCTAGATGTGTGAAAGTTAGTGTATAAGCTAATGATCCATCATGTATGACATTCCTGGGAGTGTGAAAACTTACATATTGCATTACCATATCTAAACTGCAATATTATATTGTGGCCTTTCTCTTGTATTTCAAAGATGGAAATACATTCTAAATAGAAAACACATGTTTTTTTGTTTGTATTATCTTTTACCAGATCTAATGTGTTATATTCTCCTACATTAATTTCACATTTCTACAAACTTCAAAGTGTTTCCTTTCAAATGATATCAAGAATATGCATATCCTTGCTTCAGGTCCTGAACTACAGGCAGTTAGATTTGGGTATGTCATTTTAGACGAAATTTGATTAAAAAAAGTGTCAGATTCTTAAGAGGTTAACTATCTGCACATAATATGACATTTGAAATGTCTTTATTCTTTTGAAACTTTTGTGAGTGTAATGTTTACTGGTATTTTTTTAATTGTTTATTTCACTTTTGTTTATTATCCATTTCACTTGCTTTGGCAATGTAAACATATGTTTCCCATGCCAATAAAGCCCTTAAATTGAACATTGAATTGAGAGAGCGAGAGAGAGATTCGGACACATTTGTTTTACACATTGACAGTATTAGGTGTTATTGTTTAAAAACATGTCCAAAGCTAACACTAGAGGGCACTATATTATCATGTTTTATGGTTACAGGCTCTGTGTGTTTCTGAGAGAGAGAGAGAGAGATGGAACGAGAGAGAAAGAGTGAGGGGGGAGGGGAGGGATGATATATTATATTTATTTTCTACCTCTAATCCAACTGTGAAATTCATAAGTGAGTGCCTGTGTTTTTAGATTTTCAGCTAGGCCTAGCAGTACCGTGCACACTGCATCAACTCTCATAGTCTTCTCATCTTCATAGTCTAACCTGATGAAAATGAAATCATGCTGAGTGAACAAAGACATCTACATTGGTTCAGACAACTAGCAGCTAAATAACTGATATGTGCACATAAAAAACGTACAGGATTGGTATAAGCATTGGTTGGAAGAAGTTTTCACCATTGTAAAATCTTTGCGAGAAAGTGTGTAAATGCACACATCTCGAGAAGGGTGAAGAATCTGGACTCAGCCTATCACGTGAGGCAGCCAAGCCTTGAGAGGAACTAGCCTTTCACTCGCTAACCTCGCCATATAAACGTGATAAACCTACTAAGAACAAGTCAAAATAAGCAGAGGCACACAATGTATTTTCCACTTAAAACATTTTATTACACACAAAAGAAAACAAAAGAAGCATTGCAACACAGAATTAACCAAATGCTGGCAAAAGCCAATGCACCAGCAACAAGTGATGTACAAATAATAATTATTTAAATTACCATGGAATTTAATAATAATAATAATGCACCCTGATGAAAACAAGCCAAAACTTTACTTCATATCATTCATAAATAGATTAGAAATCTGTCAACCGAATGAAATAGATATTGTGAAAACATGTTATTCAACTAAAAGAAATGTGTTCTCTCATCGCTGTCTTTACAAATAAAAGAAGTACATTTGGCAGGTTTGTGCGCAAATGAAATATCTACCTGGCGACCATACCTTAGAAACGTAAATTGTGCTACAGTGAAAAATTAAAATGTTTTAAGAATTAAATGCATTATTTACTTTTTTCACAACAAATTATAAAGATAAAATCAACACAATTCTAAAACACCTAATGAAACTAGTCAAAAACTTTAAAACCCACTGTTATGTTTTTATCTTTAGTAACATTTCACATTTAGCAAGTGGTGTTGGGGAGGGGGAGGGGGAGGCATGGTCTGCTGGACCAGAGAGGTTTAAACTAAGGGAGAGGTTTCACCTTTGACCTCTTCAGTCCAGTCAAATCCTGAGGCCAGCGCAGAGGGTGTCCAAAATGGCTCCCTATTCCTCTTCTAGTGCACTACTTTTGACTAGAGTAGTGCCCTTGATAGGGAATAGGGTACCATTTCAGACGCAGACACTCTCTCAGAGAGCCCCCAATAACAACTGGGGAACTGAATCATTTACAGTCTTTGTATTTCTCTCTTCATTAGAGAGGAGTTAGCCTGGTCCCAGATCTCTTTGTGCTGTTTTGCCAACTTCTATGGTCATTGTCACCATAGGAGTTGCAAAGACAGCACAAACAGATCTGGGATCAGATTTAGTGTTTGTATTCCCTCACTGAATCCAGCCCGCACAAAAATCACATAACCAAATAAAATAATGTAAAAAGCAAGGGGACTGCGGTTAGATACACACATCTGGGCATAGGGGGCCAGGTTCCATCTTGGTAGATATTTACAATCACTCTGAGAAAAGAAAAATGGGACACTTGTGTTTCTTCCCTCCAGACCTACAACGACCCCTTTGTCAAAATAAAGACAGAAATTTTTTGGGGGGTTCGTGTATAGTATGTTGACGTGAACTTGAAGCTCACCCCCCACAAAATGGAACGTTCATGGAAAAAATAAGCAAGGTTCCTGTCCAGTCTAAGTGCTTGGCAAATAGGTGAAGTAGTAGCAGTCTTGGGGATTTTAAAAATCCTTCAGAAAAAAACTAGATGGAGGAAAAAGATACATTGACGTTGTTGTTGTTGATGACTGTTGGAAAACTCCCTGGAGTCTTGACTTTCGGAGGTCCACCAGCTTCAAGTGAGGTAGAGAGGCTTGTCCCGAACTCCCATGCCACTGCTGATGAAGAGAACAATGAGAAGATGCTGTCAATACAGGCAAATGTTGGTCCACAAACCAATGCATTGAATGATACAGTCTTAAAACTTTAAAACTGACACTCTCAAAACAATTTTTTTATTCTATTCAGTATTATTTATTTGGTGGAAAAGTAGTTGTATGTCACTAGCATAGCAGTGGAAGTGAATGAACAGTGATGTTGCATGATCTTGTGCTGGAAGAATGCATGCATACTCAAATGCCTATATTCCATATAACAACGTGTACTAAGTCAAACAAAGGGAAACTTAATTGGATGTCACACTTTCTCACAGTGTAGGGAAAAGTGTTATGTCACTACTCCCGCTTTAAATAAACAGTACGACTCAGCCTCAAGCCTCACTCATCTGGCAAAGCACTGTTGATAAAACTGTTACTCGTCCAAGTAGACTAGGTTATCACGACATGCTCACCTGCAGTGGTTGGGCCCACAGTCCCGGTTGCAGTACTCGCCATCCCAGTCGGGGTTCTGTCCATGCCCTGGGTTGGGCGCCCCCGGGGACTGGGACCCACCCACACTGTTCTGGTAGTCCTGAATGTGAGCGAACCCCTGGAGCAGAAGAGGAAACAGAAGAGTGCTCTCTTAAAAACCACTACCATTTCAAATGTTCCAATGTGGTAGGAGTGTCCAATAGCAAGAGGTTCACGTCCACTGCAGGCAATTGGGTAATGCTCAATTTACTTTAAGTTGGGGAGTAAGTGGACACTGGCTTCATTTCAAATTGACCCCTAACCCTGATGCAGATCTAGGATCAGAATGGATTTCATGGTCTTTAAGGTTTTTCCTTAGTAAAAAAAAGCTGTTTCAACCTTTGATGAATAATAGTCCAATCACCCAGTGTCATGAGATCCTTAAAACAAACATATCAGAGCTCTAACACCTATTTCAAATGTTTCCCCACAACACTGCAGGGCTGAACACTAAAGAACAGAGATAGGACTAACCTGTTGGCTGAGAGGAGGTGAGTGCAGAGACCCCTGGAGCCCCATTGAGTGCGACTGGACCTGCTGCATGCGCAGAGAGCTCTGGTGGAGGGCAAGCTGGGAGGGATGGAGGGGCGGGCTGATCTGGAAGGGGGAGGGGGGAGAGGCACTCATGCTGGGTGGCAGCATCTGGGATTGGCTGAGGGTCCGGGTCAGGGCATGGCGGGACGGCCCGGCGAAGCTCTGCAGGTCCGACAGGGGGAAGGAGCCAGGGCCCAGACCGTAGGGGGAGGAGGGCTGCGGAGGCATGCTGTACATGGGCTGCTTGGGGGGCAGCATGTGGGAGGGCTGGCTGCTTTGGGCACTTTTTGGTTCGACAGGGTCGTTGTAGGTCTGGAGGGGAGAAAAAAAACAAAGAGGAAGTAGGAAGAGTTAGAGAAAGCACAAAGGGTCAGGATATTTTGTATGCTTCCAAAAGAAGTCAGTGTGTAAAAATGTAATGATTTCATATACTGTTGGAGTGTGGACTCTCCCCATAAAACTCATCTCTCATCTATGGAATACATTTGTCATACTCATTCATCCATTCATTCATTCAACTCTTCCCATGATATTTGACTACAATGGCCACAGCAGAAAGAGATGAGTTTACAGGCCCTAGGCCCAGTCAGTGCTATTCAGAATTGTATTCATTAGGGCACAACATAGTAAAACATTTTTAAATGTTGCGTGATGGAAAATGTAAACAAATGTTTCTTATTGGACAAGTTCAGATACTACCTCCCCTATTTTGGTCTGTTTGCTTCTATGTCGTCCCTAATGAATGCAACCCAGAAGTGCCAGGTCATGTATCATGCGACTTATGTATATCATGGGTGAATCATTCAGAGCAGGTGCAGCCCTCGCCTTGCCCCCCAACCCACACCCAACCCAGGCCCTATGATGAGCTGTCAGATTGCTCATCTGCACCTATCAGTGTTGATTACAGGGGTAATGGAGCCCATTTGTATGAATTGTGCCGCCGTATAATGATCAGTGGACACCTTGACAGATGGATGGGAATGGAGAGGAGAGGGCGTACACACACACACACACACACACACACAGAGGGAAATGAGACTGTTTGCCAGGAGAACAAATGGAATGACAAAAGGAATCTCCCAGACGGTACATTGTGGCCTGTTAACGCGACCTGGCACTAAACAATGCAATTCCACCATTCCTTTCTTCCTTCCTTCCTATCCATGTTGCTGCATAGGAGATAGGGCGCCATTACTCATAGGCAAAAAGGAGAAAGCCATAAATCTAAATTAGCAGTGAGGTGTCACGCGGAGAAAATGCAACAAAAACCCAATTATGTGTAGCATTGAATTGGATGCACACTCTCGTATAAGCAGTGAAACAGAAGACATGATGGATGCATCAATAACAAGAATAAACCATTAGTTCCATTCATGTGTCTTGTATGAACAGGCATAACCCAGCTGTGGAGAAACATATGACTATGTCTGGAAAGACCAAATAGAATTAACATTTCATGTAAAGACAAACAAAGACATTGGCTCAATGAAATACTGTGTACATATAGGGCATACATACATACTGTATACACAGGGCATACATACATACATACATACATACATACATACATACATACATACATACTGTATACACAGGGCATACATACATACAGTATACACAGGGCATACATACATACTGTATACACAGTGCATACATACAGTATGCTTTGCAAGCACTAAAATCAAAAGGACACCCTTGCTAACAAAGCTTTATAGCTTCATAGCTTTTGAAGGGTGATAATAGTATGACCTTCCTCTATCAGAACAACTGTCCCAACCCCCAACCGATGGAAATAAGGTATTGTCCCTATGGTATACAGTATTGTTGCAACACCCCACCTCCACTCTTCTTTAGCCCCTCCCCCGCCATTAGCCGGGATTTTCCATCCAATCCATCATCACTCTAAGCAAGCCTGGTGTGTCATAAGCGTTACCTTGGAAACCAGACTGGCTCTGTACGTGGCGAGGGCTTTCAGGTACTCTTTCTTGGCCGCCTCGGTTCTCCTCTTGTACGCCTGGAAATCAAAGAAGAAGAGGTCTACACAGACATACAAACACACTCACAAATGTTTCCCTTTCCATACTACATCATTTCAAGGGGTCTTCCTCCATTGTAGAAAGACACATTACAGTCATTTAGCAGACACTCTTATCGAGAGCGACTTACAGGAGCAATTAGGGTTAAGTGCCTTGCTCAAGGGCACATACAGATTTTTCACCTAGTCGGCTCAGGGATTTGAACCAACGACCTTTCAGTTACTGGCCTAACGCTAGGCTACCTTCCGCCCACACATCATTTATATACAAGAGAAATTAACTCGAACTCTCCATCATTTTAGCACTACAACAGCCATTGCATCATACACTCAAAATGTTTGTGCAATTCAAAACATTTATAAAATGTGGCCAATGCCTTCGTGCTCCAATCAAGTGCATCAGTTATGTTGAAAATCATATTGTGTGTTTGTGTGTGTTTGTGTGTGCGCATCCGTGCCTGTGTATGCATGTGTGTGTGAGTGTGTGTGTGCGCGCATGTTGGTATGTGTGTATGTTGAGGGGGGTTGTAAATAACAAGCCCAGTAAGCCCCAGGAGAGAAGAGTTGTGGGGTAGGTGGCACTTAAGCCCTGATGCACCATTGGTTGCTTACAGTGAATACATCATAATGGATTTAAATTCCAGATGGAACAGCATGGCAGCATTTTGATTGACAGCTGACTCTACACAGCATATACATACATACAGCATCTGTGGCTCCACAAAATGAGCTGATTAAGAATTTGAACTTAAACGATATAGTTACAGTATCAGTGCGAGATAGTGTTTTCTAGTCATAGGACATAGAAGAGAGGGAGCTAAATTATAACATGAAGATATTTCATAAGTGTCTGATTGCAATTAGTGTTTTAGGGTTATTTTTTTGTGTGGCCTTAACGTTCAAAGTTGTAAGTAGCAATACACACGCAATGCTTTGGTTGAAAATGTTTTGTTGTAGTGCGCACACAAAACAACCATTACAATACAACTTTATTGTCCATGTTACAGCGAACAACGGAAATGTGTCTTCTGCTCCGTTGAGACGAGCGCAGGGTCAAACTGTAGTGCCCCTGTATGGAGAGCATATTGTGGGGTTAAAGGCCTTGCTCAAGGGCCCAACGGTAGGGGAATGTCTTTAGGATGTGAACCCAGCAGCCCTCCAGTTGCCAGATCAATTCCTCCCTTTATTCCAGCCCCCCGGCCGGGATTCAAACCAGCCACCTTTCAGCTACAGGTCCAACTCCTTAACCACTGGGCTACATACCGCTAGTAACCCTTTACTTCAAGGGAATATACATAAGTAATTCATAACACCATTCATGACATGGATGTTGCAATGTCATTCATAACTACATTCATAACAACTTTCATTCATAACAACTGATGCTTTGAAGACCTTGCCAGGATACTTACGGATGAACCTACGAGGGGCAACGGAGAGCACCAATGGTCATTTATTTATGTTCAGTTCTACGTAGAATATTTGGCTATGGGTTAATTTGTCACACCTCCCTGATAGCTAGTATTCCTAAAATTAATTTTTACACAATAACTATATTATTAAAAACTAACGAGACCAAATGCATGGTGAAAGGTAACATCTTCATGAAAATCCCTTAAATAAATCTTCTTCATTTAGCAATTTGCTATTGAGACTGTTGGGTGGAGAAGAAGATGAACAATACAGCTTATTCTCCTTAATAGACTGATACAGATACAGTGCCTTCAGAAAGTATTCACACCCCTTGACTTTTTCCACATGTTCATGTGTTACCGCCTGAATTTTAAATGGATTAAATTTAGATTTAAATGGAATTATGTTTTTAGAAAAAGAAATATATATATAAAACTGAAAAGCTGAAATGCCAAGTCAATAAGTATTCAACCCCTTTGTTATGGCAAGCCTAAATAAGTTCAGGAGTAGAAATGAGCTCAACAAGTTACATAATAAGTTGCATGTATTCCCTCTGTGTGCAATAATAGTGTTTAAACCCGTTTAAGAAGGTCATACCAAGGATAATTTTGCTATTTGATTTGGAATTTTGAGACCCTCCTCAAAAATAGATACATTTTTATTTGGCCTTACTGCTATTAACCCATACAAACACACTGAATAACAGAAAGGAGGACCAAGACACTCTTCATATAATTAATTAAAATGCCTTTATTTGTATGGCATGTTCAATGGAAACAAAGTTTAAAAACAGACGCGTTTTGGCTGCATGGCCTTCGTCAGGGAGTACAAAGATATGATAATACAATGTCCTCTTTTGAACAGCTTTTTCCAATCAACCCTGATTTGAAGAAGGAGTGGTTATAGAATTCATTGGACCACTTTTACCAAAGAGCACCTTCTGTCTACCAAAATCTACTATTATGTCCCTTAGCAGCACTTCCCTTCCTTATTTTCTTCTGCATTACATGGAACAACAGATAGTCCCAAAACAACTCAAAAGGAAGTTTGTTCTGAAGTGTCTGTCCTATATCTGAGAGATATAAGAGAGATCAGGAAACATTTGTTATTTTTGGCACTTAAACAGTCTCCATATACAGTGCATTCGGAAAGTATTCAGATCCCGTGACGTTTTCAACATTTTGTTACGTAACAGCCTTATTCTAAAATTGATTTAATAGTTTTTTCCCCTCAATCTACACACGATACCCCATAATGACGAAGCAAAAACAGGTATTTAGTAAAAACATTTTTGCAAATGTATTAAAAATTAAAAACGGAAATCACATTTACATACAGTACCAGTCAAAAGTTTGGACACACCTACTCATAGGGGTTTTTCTTTATTTTTACTATTTTTTACATTGTAGAATAATAGTGAATATATCAAAACTTTGAAATAACACATATGGAATATGTAGTAACCAAAAAAGTGTTAAAAAAATCAAAGTATATTTTATATTTGAAATTCTTCAAAGTAGCCACCCTTTGCCTTGATGACAGCTTTGCACACGCTTGGCATTCTCTCAACCAGCTTCATGAGGTAGTCACCTGGAATGCATTTCAATTAACAGGTGTGCCTTGTTAAAAGTTAATTTGTGGAATTTCTTTCCTTCTTAATGCATTTTAGCCAATCAGTTGTGTTGTGACAAGGTAGGGGTGGTATACAGAAGATAGCCCTATTTGGTAAAAGACCAAGTCCATATTATGGCAAGAACAGCTCAAATAAGCAAAGAGAAACGACAGTCCATCGTTACTTTAAGAAATGAAGGTCAGTCAATACGGAACATTTCAAGAACTTTGAAAGTTTCTTCAAGTGCAGTCGCAAAAAACACCAAGCGCTATGATGAAACTGGCTCTCATGGGGACCGCCACAGGAAAGGAAGACCCAGAGTTACCTCTGCTGCAGAGGATAAGTTCATTAGAAAATAAATGCTTCACAGAGTTCAATTAACAGACATATCTCAACATCAACTGGTCAGAGGTGACTGCGTGAATCAGGCCTTCACGGTCAAATTGCTAAAATGAAAACACTACTAAAGGCCACTAATAAGAAGAAGAGACTTGAGCAATGGGCAATGGACATTAGACCGGTGGAAATCTGTCCTTTGGTCTGATGAGTCCAAATTTGAGATTTTTGGTTCCAACCGCTGTGTCTTTGTGAGAAGCAGAGTAGGTGAACAGATGATGTCCGCATGTGTGGTTCCCACCGTGAAGCATGGAGGAGGAGGTGTGATGGTGTGGGGGTGCTTTGCTGGTGACACTGTCTGTGATTTATTTAGAATTCAAGGCACACTTAAACAGCATGGCTACCACAGCATTCTGCAGTGATACGCCTTCCCATTTGGTTTGGGCTTAGTGGGACTATAATTTGTTTTTCAACAGGAAAATGACCCACACACCTCCAGGCTGTGTAAGGGCTATTTGACCAAGAAGGAGAGTGATGGAGTGCTGCATCAAATGACCTGGCCTCCATAAGCACCCGACCTCAACCCAATTGAGATGGTTTGGGATGAGATGGACCACAGAGTGTGGGAACTCCTTCAAGACTGTTGGAAAAGCATTCCTCATGAAGCTGGTTGAGAGAATGCCAAGAGTGTGCAAAGCTGTCAAGGAAAATAACCTCAAATATAAAATATATTTTCATTTGTTTAACACTTTTTTGGTTACTACATGATTCCATATGTGTTATTTCATAGTTTTGATGTCTTCATTATTATTCTACAATGTAGAAAATAGTAAAAATAAAGAAAAACCCTGGAATGAGTAGGTTTGTCCAAACTTTTGACTGATACTGTAAGTATTCAGACCGTTTACTCAGTACTTTGTTGAAGCCCCTTTGGCAGCGATTACAGCCTCGAGTCTTCTTGGATATGAAGCTACAAGCACACCTGTATTGGGGGATTTTCTCCCATTCTTCTCTGCACATCCTCTCAAGCTCTGTCAGGTTGGATGGGGAACGTTGCTGACAGCAATTTTCAGGTCTCTCCAGAGATGTTTGATCGGGTTCAAGTCCGGGCTCTGGCTGGGCCACTCAAGGACATTCAGAGACTTGTCCCGAAGCCACTCCTGTGTTGTCTTGGCTGTGTGCTTAGTGTCGCTGTCCTGTTGGAAGGTGAACCTTCGTACCAGTCCGAGGTCCTGAGGGCTCTGGAGCAGGTTTTCATCAAGGATCTCTCTGTACTTTGCTCTGTTCAGCTTTCCCTCAATCCTGACTAGTCTCCCAGTCCCTGCCGCTGAAAAACATCCCCACAGCATGATGCTGCCATCACCATGCTTCACCGTAGGGTTGGTGCCAGGTTTCCTCCAGACACTTGGCATTCAGGCCAAAGAGTTTAATCTTGGTTTCATCAGACCAGATAATCTTGTTTCTCATGGCAAACTCCAAGCGGGCTGTCATGTGCCCTTTACTGAGGAGTTGCTTCCGTCTGGCCACTCTACCATAAAGGCCTGATTGGTGGAATGCTGCAGAGATGGTTGTCCTTCTGGAAGGTTCTCCCATCTCCACAGAGGAACTCTGGAGATCTGTCAGAGTGATCATCGGGTTCTTGGTTGCCTCCCTGACCAAGGCCCTTCTCCCCCGTTTGCTCAGTTTGGCTGGGCGGCCAGTTCTAGGAAGAGGCTTGGTGGTTCCAAACTTCTTCCATTTAAGAATGATGGTGGGCACTGTGTTCTTGGGGACCTTCAATGCTGCAGACATTTTTTGGTACCCTCCCCAGATCTGTTCCTCGACACAATCCTGTCTCGGAGCTCTACGGACAATTCCTTCGACATCCTGGCTTGGTTTTTGCTCTGACATGCACTGTCAACTGTGGGACCTTATATAGACAGGTGTGTGCCTTTCCAAATCATGTCCAATCAATTGAATTTACCACAGGTGGAAGAAGAAAGATCTCAAGGATGATCAATGGAAACAGGATGCACCTGAGCTCAATTTCGAGTCTCATAGCAAAGGGTCTAAATACTTATGTAAATAAGGTATTTCTGTTTTTTATTTTGTATAAATGTGCAAAACTTTATAAAAACCTGTTTTCACTTTGTCATTATGGGGTATTGTGTGTAGATTGATATTTTCCTATCAATTTTAGAATAAGGCTGTAACGTAACAAAATGTGGACAAAGTCAAGGGGTCTGAATACTTTCCGAATGTACTGTATACTGTACTTCCATTCATTATTTCAACAGGTAATGGGGGACCTTCAGACAAGTCTTGTGAGGCCTGTGGGCGTCCTAGAGCAAAACGACATCTCCGTGTTTGTGAGAGTCTCAACTTTTCACAGAGGGGTCATATTAGTGTGTAAGCCAAACTGTTCGGATGCTACAGACAGGAGTTGGCAGATCGGCTGTATCAACTTCAGACGAGTCCCAAGATGCTTGTGGGGGTCGTAGCAAAATGGAGAACACCATTGTGTTCGTGAGAGTCTCATCTTTCCATAGGGTCATAATAGTTTGTAGGCCAATTTTGTGAGAAGACCGATTTTCGGGATGTCTCATGGTCTTACAAACACTGCTCTAGCTCTATCACCTTTCACCGCAGAGGCGGAAGTGCGACATCGGTGGATGCGGGGGATTGAGACCCATCCAATGCAAAAAAACAGATCTCCATCTTAATCTGCCAGATATTTATGATATTTTTTTTATTATGCTAATTGATTTCCACGGGGGCGCAGACATCGACTCTAGGGGGTTAACGTGACTTTTGAATGACTACCTAATCTCTGTACTCCACACATATAATTATCTGTAAGGAATTTCAAACACAGATTTAACCACAAATTTCATGGAGGTTTTCCAATGCCTCGCAAAGAAGGGCACCTATTGGTAGATACATATATATATTTTAAAGCTGACATTGAATATCCCTTTAAGCATGCTGAAGATATTAATTACACTTTGGATGGTGTATCAATACACCCAGTCACTGAGGATGGATCAATAACATTGTAATTACTCCACATTACTAACCTATATGACAGAGTGAAAAGAAGAAAGCCTGTACAGAATAAAAATATTCCAATACATGCATCTTGTTTGCAATAAGGCACTAAAGTAAAACTGCAAAAAAAATGGTAATGGAAATTAACTTTATGTCCTGAATACAAAGCGTCATGCTTGGGGCAAATCCAACACAACACATCACTGAGTACCACTCTTCATATTTTCAAGCATGGCGTGGTTGCATCATGTTATGGGTATGCTTGTCATCGGCAAGGACCAGGGTATTTTTTAGGATAAAAAGAAACGGAATAGAGCTAAGCACAGTCAAAATCCTAGAGGAAAACCTGGATCAGTCTGCTTTCCAACAAACTCTGGGAGAAAAATTCATCTTTCAACAGGACAATAACCTAAAACACAAGGTAAAATATACACTGGAGTTGCTTACCAAGATGACATTGAATGTTCATGAGTGACCTAGTTACAGTGTTGACTTAAATCGACTTTAAAGCTATGGCAAGACTTGAAAATGGCCCCCATCCCTCTTATCTTTGTATCTTACGTAATAAAATGTAGCTTCAACTGCTTCCAATTGAAAATACAGATGACAACAACTGCTGTGGGTGTCGCTTCAGGTGACTTTGTTAGCACACTGCTCTAAAATACAATACAGGGGAAACATAATATTCCACTCTAGATTAGAACTCACATGATTGGCTCTGCTCTGTATCAGCTGCTGTCAGGACAGTTAGAAGGAGGTACACCATTGCAGTGGGTGTTTTGTCTGTCAAAAACAGGTTTGTCTGTAAAATGTCTAACTTCATTCGACTACATCAATACATTTTCTACTGTTGCTGCAACACATGGAGGCTCTTCTCGTGTTTCCTCTTTGGCTCAAATATTTTTTAAATAAATACAATCATTTTAATGAGAGTCAAGGGACCAGGGATAAACAGATTGAATATCTTTAGAAAAGAGCAGAACTAGCTCATTAAGGTGAGTTCTATCTCTGTGCACTGTGCTCTGGTAATTACTGCACAGACAAGGGCTTTGATTGTCTGCTAGTGCACTTGCTCCATCTGCTGGAAACTCAGCAATGTGTGTGTGTGTACCTGTTTCTGCTCCTCCCCCAGGCTGTCCCACATGGAGGCCACGATCTTGGACACATCCCCGAAGGTGGCGTTGGGGTTGGCGCCCTTGATGGCCGCCTGGGTGTCCCTGAAGAAGAGGGCATAGGCTGACACAGGCTTCGACGGCTCGTTGGGGTCCTTTTTCTTCTTCTTCTTCTGCGGTTTGGGCTTGGGCTTCGTCATCTCCGAGGAGGGCCGCTTCTCGCCTATCTGGAAGGGAGAGAGGAAAGGAGCGAGGGAGGGAATGAGGCAGAGAGAGAGAGAGAGGAAAAGGGAGAGGGGAGGAAAGAGGAAGATGGAGGATTGTAAGCAACGACTGACATAAAAGTCCCAACAAATGCTGATCTCAATGAAAACGGTTGGTGGTGGTTCTGCCTATTCTACTTCCATGGTTAGTCATTCTAAAATGATTTCACATAACTGTGGAAGCTGAGATGTAGATGGTACCTCAATCTTTTGTTTTCTAGGTAAATGGTAGGGAAGGGGGCCTGTCATTGTAAAAGCCCTGCACTGTACCGAAAGAAACGGAACTAGAACCAACAAGAGTACACAAAGAACAGATTAGAGAAGGAGGGTTCTGAGAAACCAACAGCCCCTTCTTCTGAGAAGAGAAAGAAAACAAGTCAGTTACTGAGGACGAGGGTGAAGGGCGGCTGACAGACAGAGAGCAGCCTCTGGTATGGTGTACATTTTAGGACACCCTCACCCGAGTCTATCTACCTCCCCAGAGTACGGTGTACATTTTAGGACACGCTCTGAGGTAGAGAGACTGGGCAGAGTGCCATGGTCTGAAGGAGAGAGGAGGACACTAGGTAGAACCTTATCACAACTAAATGTTGTTTTATACTACTCATTCACACTTTATGCTTGACTATGTTTTCGTTTCTGGGCGAGGAGAGAGGATAAGCGAGCCAATTGAAAGCTTGGGATGGTTAGGTGGCCATGATATGAGTGCCAGATAGGGAATTTAGCCAATATAAAGCATTCCCGGGATGAGAATATCTAAAGGATTTGAGCAGACAAATTCCAAATTGCAGCTCTAAACAGTAATTTGTAGGATAAATAAAACCACATTACTCCTCCTTGCAAGACCTAACCACTTGGTTCAATAAGAATGATCATAAACAGCCATCATAATATATTTTCCACAGTAAAGTACAGCTTTTGCCTATATTCGACATTGACGTCTATCAAATGCTTATGAATACATTAGTCATTTGGCACATAAAGCTTTGAAGAAGTCAAATCCAGGTCAACCTAGCCTCTGTGTGATTCTTTATGAAAATTGCATTCCTCCTGATGTGAGTAGAGCCCATCAACCATTTGAGGAGAGGGAGAAAAACATAAACTGGAGAGAGGATGTAGCTAATGGAGGATGGAAAGGAGAAGGGACTGCGGCTTGATGTGCCATTAAGATCACCACAACCTGAGTCCTAGCGACCATAAAGAAAAATAATCACATTTGATAGCCTACATAATTACCGAATATATAATGATCATCTATGATTGTGTGGAATGAAAGATGCATGCATTCAAAATGTATGGCTGAACCCCGTGACTCAAGTGACCATTTTAATGGCTTTTTTTCAGGTAGCGTAGTCACCGTCACGTAAGACTATACAATCTATTTATCTCCAAATGTCATGTTTATGTTACCATTGTGTTAGATTTGACAAAATACAACTACTTTGAAAATGTTCTGTTAAAAAAAAAACATTGATCCATACTGCTCTAGTATTAACAGGCAATCAGGGACACAAACCATGTGAAATAATTCTGAATGATCACTTGACTAGCAACTATCAAACGGCAACTCTAGGATGTTGAAAGCATTCCCATTTCATACAATCATCATGCATATTTATCACGGGATTAAGAGCTGTGGTTGTCTTCCTTTTAACTGTGCTTTCTAAACAGAAATGATTGCCTTTGAAATGGCATTGTTTAAGAAACCATTTGAAACAATATCTTCCACACAGCATGAAATTAGCTAATCAGAATCGGAGACTCACAAATGTTTGGGTATAAAAAAAAAGGGTCACTTGAATATAGCTTTGGATGTGATGTGGATGTGGAAATGAATGAAGATACCCCAATCTAAGTGAAAATGCACTCATGCCTGTTCTCTCTCTCTCTCTCTCTATCTCTCTTTCTGGTTTGGATAGTATAAAGGATAGGATAAAGTAATCCTTCTACCCCCCCCCTAAAAAATAAATAAAATAAAAATAAAAATAAAATAAAAATAAATAAAATATATTGTAAAGTGGTTATCCCACTGGCTATAGGGTGAATGCACCTATTTGTAAGTCGCTCTGGATAAGAGCGTCTGCTAAATGACGTAAATGTAAATGTAATAGTATACATTTCTTCTCCATGAGTGTGTGGTTTCCTAAAAAAATAATCATCTTCCACTTTTATGCAATTAGGCAAAAAAAGCTTTGAAACGACATCTGTTCCCCTCTGCCTTTGATGTGAAAGTTGAATAAATTGGAGTAGAGCTAATGAAATAAACTGAAAAGCAAATTAATTTCCAGGAAAAATCATTTTTATTTATAAATGGCAAAGCACAGCACAACACTCAAACCGTCAGAGAAAAAAAGGGAAATTCTCTCATTACACCATTTTCTCTCTGTATACAGTATGATAGTTGGCTACACTAGATAGAGAAGAAAATAACTTCAATGGAACATAAACTCAGATGGAATAGAATACTGATGAAATGTAATGGATGAATATCATTTGTAAAGTTGAGTAGCCTATACGTTCAAGTGTCAATGCCGTTGTACAGTAAAATCAGCTTACTGATGGCATAAAGCAAGATGGTCTTTCAAATGAACTGAACCTGCAGTTATAGTACGTCCAGTCTTGTTTACAGATCAAAATAGAAATGACTCTCCAGCCACTACACCACACAGTCAGCGATTGCTGATTGCACTATATTATAAACATATAACAAGATGGTACATAGATGGTAAATAGATTTTCAGTTTGCAAGTCAAGGACTGGATTTGAAAGTGTCAGCTCTAGGCCCATACAATCAGCATTGCTGTTGTCAGAAATCTGAAGAGGAAGAGAGGGGAAGAGGACGATGGGGAAGAGGGGGGGAGGGGTTGCTGTAATTCTGAATGGACAGCACTGTGCAGAGAAGAGGAGATTAGATTTGACAGCCTGATACCTGCGTCACTATCAAAACAGGAGAGAGGGGGAGGGAGAGAGAGAGAGAAAGAGAGGGATGGGGAGGGAGGGAGAGAGGGAATGGTTGTTTAATCAGAGGACCCAGCACATATGTATATTTACACATGAAATGAAAAGCAAAATGGAACCCAGAAAGGGTAAGGTTATCTCTAAAACATCTCAGAAGTTCTGCATATCAATTTCAAATGGGTGGGAATGTGTACAGTGCCTTCAGAAACTACATATTCATACCCCTTGACTTATTCCACATTTTGTTGTGTTAAAGTCTGACTTCAAAATTGATCAAATAAATCACACACCCATAATGACAAAGTGAAAACATGTTTTTAGACATTTTTGCAAATGTATTGTAAATGAAATACATAAATATCTAATATCTATATGTATTCACAAATCTGAGTCAATACTTTGTAGAAGCACCTTTGGCAGCGATTACAGCTTTGAGTCTTTCTGGGTAAGTCTCTAAGAGCTTTCCACACCTGGATTGTACAACTTTTGCTCATTATTTTTTTCAAAATTCTTCAAGCTCTGTCAAATTGGTTGTTGATCATTGCTAGACAACCATTTTCAGGTCTTGCCATAGATTTCAAGTAGATTTAAGTCAAAACTGTAACTCGGCCACTCAGGAACATTCACTGTCTTCTTGGTAAGCAACTCCAGTGTAAATGTAGCCTTGTGTTTTAGGTTATTGTCCTGCTGAAAGGTGAATTCATCTCCCAGTGTCTGGTGGAAAGCAGACTGAACCAGGTTTTCCTCTACAATTATGCCTGTGCTTAGCTCCATTCCATTTCTTTTTTATGCTGAAAAACTCCCTGGTCCTTAACAATTACAAGCATACCCATAACATGATGCAGCCACCACTGTGCTTGAAAATATGGAGAGTGGTACTCAGTAACGTGTTGTATTGGTTTGCCCCAAACCTAACATGTTGTATTCAGGACATTTTTTTTGCAGTATTACTTTAGTGCCTTGATGCAAACAGGATGCATGTTTTGCAATATTTTTATTCTGTACAAGCTTCCTTAATTTCACTCTGTCAACTAGGTTACTAATGTGGAGTAACTACAATGTTGTTGATCCATCCTCAGTTTTCTCCTATCACAGCCATTAAACTCTGTAAATGTTTTAAAGTCACCATTGGCCTTATGGTGAAATCCCTGAGTGGTTTCCTTCCTTTCCGGCATCTGAGTTAGGAAGGACGCCTGTATCTTTGTAGTGACTGGGTGTATTGATACAACATCCAAAGTTTAATTAATAACTTCACCACGCTTAAAGGGATATTCAATGTCTGTTTTTATTTTTTTTACCCATCTACCAATAGGTGCCCTTCTTTGGGAGGCATTGGAAAACCTCTGGTCTTTGTGGTTGAATTTTTATTATTTATTCACTATTCGACTGTGGGACCTTAGAGCCCACCTTATGTGTGGGCTACAGAGATGAGGTAGTCATTCAAAAATCATGCTAAACACTATTATTGCACACAGAGTGAGTCCATGCAACTTATTATGTGACTTGTTAAGCACATTTTTACTCCTGAACTTATTTAAGCTTGCCATAACAAAGGGGTTGAATACTTGACTCAAGACATTTCAGCTTTTCATTTTTTATGAATCTGTTAAAAAAATGTTCTAACATAATTCCACTTTGACGTTATAGGTTATTGTGTAGGCCAGTGACAACAAAAATCTAAATTTGATCCATTTAAAAAAACAAAATGTGGAAAGAGTCAATGGGTGTGAAGACTTTCTGAAGGCACTTTACCTGTCATGGGCAGCCTACAGAGCTGATGAATAGAATCTATTGCCCTTTGGAGTGAGTGGAGTCATTGAGGTGTTTGATGACAGTGGGAGCTATACGCTGCAGCAAGCAAAACCGGTTGAGAGGTACAAGCATTCAGACCCCTTGACCTTTTCCTTATTCTACAATTGATAAAGTTAAGTTAAGTTAAGAGGTGGTCCTCTGTAGCTCAATTGGTAGAGCATGGCGCTTGTAATGCCAGGGTAGTGGGTTCGATC